TATATCTGCTGGAGTGCACCTTGGCTGCTTGCCTCCCAAGTCACCTCGCTGTCAGCCCTGAGCACCCTTCAGTGCTTTCCTGTGGGTCGTGTCTGAGACACGTTTTATTCCCTCACTTCTTGCTAAAAGTTTGTTGCATTTTGCTATCCTACCCTGAAAACAGAAGCTAACTTTGAATGAATCTTTCTGCCAAGAAGGTTGGAAGATGACCTTCACAGGAAACTGTTATTCCCAACTAATAAAGCCAGAAGGTTCACCAGGATTCATTCACTCACTCACACGTTCATTCACCCACTGGTGTCTGAAGCTGACTGCTGGGTGATCTTCTAGGCCTTGGAGCACAACAGCAAGAAGAAAAATCAGAACACTTGTCCCATGGAGCCGGCGTTCTAGGAGGATATAGCAGGCAATGAATCCTTCTACTCATCTACACAGATGCACACTGGAATCTACCAGATAGTGATAACTGCTATGGAAAGGGAGAGAAAGCAGCGTGGAAGTGCCAGGAAGGGACCGAAATTTCAAATTAAGGTTAGGGGAGGCCTCAGCCAAAAGGGAGGCTGGAGCCATCTGGAAGGCAGCGATCGTGTGGCTGATAGGGCCGAGCATATTCTGAGGTCCCGAGGTCTGGACAGTCCCACTGTAGGTGAAGGGTGGGAGGAGACAGCCTGGCAGGGGCAGGGAGGATGGGGGACAGGAGCAGAAAAGAGGCTGGAAGACTGGAAGAGACTCTGGCCTTTATGCCAAGTGAGGGGATCTTGAAGGGATTTGAACAAGAAATCGCCAAGGTTCACTGTGCTTTTAGAGGATTCGTCTGACTCCGCCACCGTATTGCCAAGCATCTGTCAATATCTGCACTGGTAAGAAGGGCAGTGTGGTGACCAGCAGATAAGCAGAGCCTCTCGGGAGCAAGTTCAGGAGCACCAGGTGCTGCAGAAGCCAGGAGAGCGCACCTGAGCCGTGTGGACTGAGGGAAGTGGTGGGAGACGCAGCCCCGTGCAGCAGCTGTGGCCTAGCAGAGGACAAACTGGGGATGCTGGTCAGGCCCATAACCCAGGCTCAGGGCTTCCTGACAGCAGGGTCCCAGCAGTGTCCTGGGCAGCAGAGGACGAACTTGCTTGAAAGTTTAAATATTTTAAGGTGTGTATGAAGTTATGTTTGCAAATAGGGCACTCAGTGTGTTTTCAGAAGGAAGATGCCTTTAATTACAGCAACAGAAATGGAAATGAAAGTTGTAAATTGGAAAAGGTCTGACAAGTACATTTAGGAGTCTCCTATAAGTCTGGAGATAGAGAAAATAATATTTTTATTGTATGGTTGATTTCAATGCTTTAAATTGAAAAGAACTCAGTGGAAAAGGTGTCTGGAGATTGAAGAAGGATTGAGTATATTATTTTTAAATGTTAACATTTATTAAAATGAGTTTATCATTTTTTTGTTGTCTCAAAGATCATGTAGGTTGAACAGTACAAAACAGCCACATCTGTGGTTTAATAGTCAGTAAAGTGAGCCAGCCAGATAGCTCAGCGGACTAAAGCGCCTGTTTAGGCAGACACAGGGGGAGTTCATCGCCTGGCATGCACTGCAGGCCCTGTACCTACCCCTGGGGCACACTGAGACTGTGATTGAGACTGGGGTGGTGGCGCATGCCTGTAATCCCAGCACGTGGGAGGCTAAAAACAGGAGGATCACTATGAGTCTGATCTATATAGTGAGACCCTGTTGACCGTGTACTAAAAATTAAAAAAAAAAGTCAGTGCACTGATATGATATAATCTAATAGAACTATAGAAAGCAGGCACCTGGCTCTGATGTGTGGGCTGTAGGACCCTAAGGAGTAATCGTGGGTCTGCGTGTCTTTGGCACTGCCTGACAGTGTGGGCACCAGGTAGAGCTGACCTGTTGCTGGCCTGGGGAGCTTGGGCAGCCTGCGGGCCACAGGGAGACTGAGCTTGGAACCAGGCTTTTCAAGGAGGTGACCCCTGGTGGGAAGAAGGCAGTGAGCGTCATGGTTGTGTCTTACCCCTCTTGCCTAGCCCTAGATACTTCCCTTGTATTAGACCTAAAAGCCTAGGGGTAAATGGGTTGCAGATTTGGACTTCCTTGAAACAGTTGTCTGCACTCTATATTGTCCATGAGGCCAGGTGCCATAGATTCCTGTGACGTCATACTAGGGCTCAAACAATTTCAAATTTTCAAGCTATTTGCATGTTTAGGAATGCTCACCTGTAATGTTTTCCATGGAGTTTTCTATATGATAACTAGCTATAAAACATTCCTCATAATAAAGCTTTCTGGCCACCAGTCCACATGCCATGTGCTCTTGAATTCACCTCCTACCTACAGGGTAAGCTCACCCTATAGTTAATACCGACTGCATGCTCGGTGAGGAATACAATTGAACTGCTTAACAGATGAACCAGTGAAATGCTCTGCCACCTGCCAAGCTCATTGAGACATATTTTATTCCCAAAACTCCTGTATGAAGCTTTTGAAAAATACTGACCTCTCATTGAACATAAAATGTGGCTGAAAACTGGGCATGGTGTTATTGTCAGGAAATTCAGGAAGCATTTGTCTTTTGAGGACTAGGGCTACACAGCGCAATTAAAACTTAGTGGGGGCCGGGGAGATGGCTCAATGGAATAAGTGCTTCCCTGGCAAGTGCAAGGGCCTGAGTTCAATCCCCAGCTCTGCCAAAAAATAAATAAAATAAAGCTTAGTAAGATTTATGTAAAGGATATACCAAAATCATCAAAACTGATATTTATGAAGAAAATGTAACCTGTGTTTTCCTCATACATGGACCAGTAGAAGATCATCACCTACAGAACACGTGCGCTGCGCCTTCTTGCTTCCTGCGCCATGCCATCAGGTACAAGGCATGGACGATTTCACGCAAGTAGCAATTATGCTAACTTCAGTTGGCATAAAATAGATCAGATGGAAGTCAGGAAAATCTTTGCCTTTAGTCAGAATTCCTTCAGTGTCAGAGTCATCAGTGGGCAAGGCGCTTCTGCAGCGTGAACCAAACAGTGGATCTCCTGGTACTGGAGGCCTGTGGTGACTAAAATGCTCTTCCTTAGAGCAGGATGGAGCAGCTTCAGGTTGGCTCCAGTGCAGCACTCTTGGAGCCATATAAAAGTTCACCTTTCTGACTAACTTCTTCACAATATATGTATTTTTGCAATTTTTTCCTTGATTTAAAGTGTCTATTGTTTTAACACTAAAACATCTCAGGAAACTGAGTAAACTTCAGGCCCAGAAAATAAGCTTATGTCACCAAGATAATTTGTATATTGTTCTTAGAACAATAATAGTTTGTTTTATTAACAGTAAGCTCTTATTAAAATATGGTTTCAATGTTTAAAATAAAATAAAATTCTGTAGGCACAAATGGCAGAGTCCTAGAAATGGGCCATTGCAGTTCCCTGCCTTCTATGGAATTGGAGACTGGGTTGAGGCACGTGACTTTTTAAAAAAATAGGACTTCCAGTTTAACCAATAGCAATCAGAGGGTCAGAAGATGAGGTGGGTTTTGTGTGAAAAGAAAGAAAACCTAAATCCAGAGACTGCACTAGGGGAGCAGCTGGCTATAGGAGAGATGGCAGTGAGGACCCTCGGGCGTCTTGGTGCCAGCGCTCAGCTTAGTGAAGTCAAAAGATGTGGGAAGATAGATGCATAAGATAAAAAAATAATTGAATGCAGCAAGTCCGCATCCACACTTGTTCCTGTTCGGCATCCGCTGCGCCAGTGTTAGTCATCAGCAGTACTTTCACTCACTGCATATCAGCCCCTGGATTCCAACCTCCCATTTCTTCCTCTGCCCTCCCACTATCACTTGCGCCAACTGTGGGCGGCATGAGAAAGAGGGCTGCCCAGAGGGGACCTTCGCTGGATAATAGCAGGAGGATGGCCTCGGGCATCAGTGAGAGTGCTCTAGCATCATGCAGGGTCTGGGCTCCAGACACAAAGCCCCAGTACCCTAAGGGACAGACACAGTTTTACATTGCCATGGAAATGCAGAGTCCCTGTTCGTCCACGTGGGAGCCGTGACCAAGAATTGGGTGAAGCAAATCATGTTTCCAGAATGGAGAGGATGCTAAACTCTTAGTTCTGAGGCTACAGGATACACATGTGAAATAGTTAATAAAGGACATAAGTCACTGCACATGGGGAAAGGGGCTGGAGAAGGGTAGGAGTTGTCACTGTCCTCCAGAGACTGTCTGGTACCAGGCTCAGGCACTTGCTTCTTAGGGACTCCGCTGGAACCGATGCGCGTCAGCAGGTGCAGGGTCAGGGTTCAGCGGGTCGCAGTGACACACCTGCTCTGAGAGTGTCCTGCTGCTAGGTGGGGAGGACACAAATTTGATCCCGTCGTTTTATCATCTTTTCATTACAATATTGATAACGCTTTTATCAATATTCCATACAATTTTCAATATATAGGCAGGAGCTGCTGTTAGGCTTTAAGTCAAAGATTAGAATAAACGCTACCACCAGTGAATCTAGTGGACACTCAGACTATTTTCAAAAACGTACCGGCCTCCCAAACACGGCTGTGTTCAGCTGGGGAGGACCCTGCCGGCCCCATGCGAGCATTCAGGAAGCTGGTCTCCAAAAATGTCCGCACGCTGTTAGCTCACGTCTGTCATCCTTCCCATTCCCCATCTGGCCTAGTACTTAAGGCAAGTGAGTTCCCCAAAGCACCAGCAGGCAAGGGTGCAATCCCGCACCCGGACAGGGAGGGCGTCCTGGCACGAGTTTAGAGCGGGGCATGGCAGGGCCCGCTGCTCAGCGCCCCCCTCGGGTTGCGGTGGGTCCGGGCGTAACCGGTCTCCCTCCTCGCCCACAGGGAAATTACGTGTCGGCGAGGGCTTACTACAAGAGAGCCTTGCAGCTGGTTCCAGACAGCAAACTGCTGAAGGAAAACCTCGCCAAACTCGATCGCCTAGAAAAGCGACTGCAGGAAGTTCGAGAGAAGGCTCAGACATAGCACCGTCAGGCCCAGTCCCGGAGGCGGATGCAGGTGGCGCATGCGCAGCGCGGCCTTGGCGCTTTCCTCTCCCAGCAGCAAGTTCAGGGTGGCACGTCCTGGGATACCGCGCGTGCTGCAGGACCCGCGCCGCCGTGAACGAAGGGAGACAGCGGGGCAGGCGGGACGCTCGCGGAGGGGCAGAAGACAGCAGCTGCGCGTCTCAGAGATTTTCTTTGTCTCCCCATGTCCCTTGATAACATTTCTATGCTTTTGCCTCCTGGAGACCTAATTCCATTTATTCATTAGACTTTTATGTCCCAGAAATACAGAAGTATGGAAATGTTATAAAGGAGAGCATTTGTTCCGTGTGGGATGAACTATTTCAAAGCGGATGGATCCGCTAGGCGAGCCGCTTGGTTTGATTAACTCTCCTGAACCGGAAATGAGTATCTAATGGCTTTTGTAGGACCGTGCAGAACATGCGAGGAAAAGGGCTGTTGCTGAATGAGCTTTAGCTACTAGCTCCCTGAGGATGAGACCTTTTGCAGACCGAATTGCATTCTGCGCTGGTACAAGTTTTTCCAGTGCCTAATACAACAAAAGGGAAGCTCCTGGAGTCACGTATGGGTGTCGTTATCCCTGCAGGAAAAGCAGGGAGCTTGGCACCCCAATGGTTTAAATCATAAGTTTTATTACAAATATTAATAGAGTAGTAGTTCTACTCTAAGATTTCAAAAGTGCATTTAAAATCGAAAACGTTCCCACCTTAAATATATTGCTATTTTGGTGGCGAAATATAGTATATTCTGCATAGAAAATATTAAAGATATTAACTAAGAAATTACCTACTTTATTATATTAATGTTTAGACATCATGAATTTATTTTTTTTGAAAATATATTTAAACATTGAGGAATCTACAATATATAACAAAATCTTCATAACTAGAGGGAAAGAGAGATCTATTTATTTGTCTTCCTAGGCTTAGAGAGAATTCTGTACTTAAAACATCAGTGACTGAGACCTGGCATCTGTCCTGCATTTATAATTTTGGAGATTTCATGGAGAATACTATAAAAATCTAAGAAAGTCTAAATTCATCATTTTAAATATATACATTTGTAAAAGGATAAGGAAGGCAAAGTTAAACTCAGAATTTGGTATCTATTTTTAGGTTATTTATTTTGTAACTTATAAAATATTTTAATATATACATACTTCTTTTTTTCTCTATACATAGTGGTTTTGATAGCAGCTTCCAAACCTGACCATATAAAATACAAGTCAAAATTACCAAATGGTTCAGCTTTAACAGCCCCTACAAAAAGTGTATTGATTATTGGGCGCTGAGGTTAACAGAATTCACGGTCAGCCTTCAGTGTGTAGGCGACAGTGTATTTTGGAAGCGAAGAAATTGGAATGCCTGGTTCTAACCGCATCCTGATCATTGAAAACATAACCCCCCTGCCAAAGCAATGGTGTGTCCCAGGTGCATGCACAGGCTCCCCCTGCTGGCCAGTGGGGGAAACGCCTCCCCTCTGTTCATTCTTGGAAGCCTATGCTCATGGAAGAAAACGTCTTTGGGAAAAAATGGCGGGGGGGGGGGCCGGGGGGGGGCCCAGGGGGTGGGAGAGGGGCCCGACCCCTGAGTTCAATGCCTGGTTCCACCAAAAAAAAAAAAAAATAAAAGGGGGGGGGGGGGGTTAAATACAAACTGTGGCAGGATTTGAGGTAGCATGTATCCGTTTCTCTGCATTAGTAATCCAATCATGTACATATAACACCATGATGACCTTCTGTTTCCAAGTCTTCCAGTGTTATAGACCATAAATGTGTCCCAAATTGTATTTTCTTCTCTCTCAAATTCTAATTCTATGGCCCCCAACCAAAAAATGCAATATGATGTTTGTTTTCCAGTAACCCTGCTAAATGTAAAACCTCTTGATACGTTCAGTATCTATCACTTTTATCACAGCTTTTCACAATAAATGGAAAAGGTTGAGCTCCAAATTCTGAAGTAATTGTGCCTTACTTGTAGCGCTGCTACAGTGAGGAGTATGTGTTTGATGCATAATTACAGTGGCAATTAAACATTTCTGAGGGACAAGGTCATGTGACGTGCAGGAGACTTTCCGGCTGCCTCCCCCACCTGCCTTCTCGAGGCCCACCTTCCTCCTCCCTCCCTCTCTCGCTGTTCCCAGTCTCTTTCTCCTCTGTTCCAGTTCTCTGTCTCATCTGTCAGATCTGCTTGAATGTTAAAAGTAATGTTTAAAAAGGAGCTATTTATTGGATCAGTTATTTTTATCCTTCACTGAAATGAAGCCAGTGAAATAGTTGAAATGGTGCCTATAAAAAATAAATCCCATTCTATTTTTCAAAACATTGTCTATCTTGTACCTTTTTATTTGGTCCTTGTAATGTGAAAAAAAATCAGTGCATTTCATCCTTAGAGAATGGGGCACCCTGGCTGGTCACAGACGTGCCCGTTGTGCTTGGCAGAGGCCTGGGGCTGGCCTTGCTGCGCGCCGGCGGTGCCCTCGCCCATGCGGCCTCAGCGTCCTGCGCTCGGGTGCCTCCCAGGCGCGGCACTCTGCCTAAATTCTTATTAATGCTGAAGTTAGGGCCTCACGATTTCATTTTGTGCTGCATCCTAGGATTCTGTCAGCAGTTATGGGTAGCAAGGAAGATAGTGAGAAGAGTCCTCCGGTCCTGGCTGAACGCTTACATTGATACTCCGTGTCCTGTGTGACGTTTCTGGGAGCAGCGGTGTTTCCTCCTGCTGCCGGTCAAGTTCACGCACAGGCTGCCCCCTGCTCCTCCGTCTGTCTGCGCTGACCTTCAGCCCTGCGTTCAGCCCGTTTTTGTCTCACAGTATTCATATGAGGTGGTGTATGTCCTTTGACACATGAAAATAGCTTCAGCATTGTATTTTATTAATTTTTTATTCAAAAATTTCAAATGACTCAGATATTTTTGATTCATTAGTGGTACTCATCCACTTGATTCAGTGCTGTAACGCAGGTGAAAGAAACCAAAGATGCAGGTCCCTTGGCGGGAAGTCAGATTTCACTTTAGGGAATAAGGAGGTAATGTCCTCTTGGCAGGTTGTTTGCCATGCAGCCTATCTCAAAGCAAGGGGGACTCTGAGCACTTTAATTCCAACACCCTGAGGTACTTCAGAATCCTTAGCATGCAGTTTTGAGACCTGTCCTGGGGGTACCTAGTGTGGTACAGAATTGCCCGGTACTTGGGCAGCTGCTTTCAGCCAGGCCAAATGAGAATATCCAGGCCTTCCTCAAGAGGCTGACCCCGCAGGAGCTGTAATTTCAGGGAGAGTTAACAGCAAGAGAGTTTCATTTCCCAGTCGCTCTGTTAGACCTGAGTTGCGCGAGGTGCAGAGCTATGTGTGGCTGATAAAGAGATTTGTCCTGTCACACAGGGTGGCTCTCAATCTTCGGGAACAACCGTGTAGACTTTCAAAATCCCAGCTTCAGGGCCGTCCCAGTGATAACTCCACTCAGTGAGGCAGCCAGGATAGAGAACACTGGGGACTGGCAGCTTTCATGGCAGTTTATGACCATTACAAAAGAGTTGTTTACAATCCTTTGAAATTTATCCTTTTGACTAGTAGGCTCGAGGAAGCCCAAGACTTAAAAGGGTGATCTGTAGCTTGGTGGGTTGCTTTAAGGTCATCATCCTGTGACTGCCCTGCAGTGGCTCGGCAGTGACTTTGCCCTTGCTGTACCCAGACTGACTAAAGTGGCCTCACATTTACACACAGAACTCTTAGTACACTGGTGGAGAGGCACTGCCTGCTGTTCACACGCACTGGACAAAGCACCCTGTACAGAAAACTGACGTTCTATGAATTAGAGAAGTTGTCCGTGGTGTAGCATTCATAGCTACACCTGTGTCTTTCTGTCTAACACAGACATGTTAGCTTTGGTATAGCATTTCTTTCCTTCCTTGCTTCCTTCCTTCCTTTTTCTTTTCCTTTTAGTGCTAGGATTGGAACTTGCACCTTCTGCAGGCAGAGCACATGCTGTGCTGTGAGCGACGCTTGCAGGTCCGTCAGTTATTTCTTAATTGTATTTACTAGAATTTGTTTGGGAAGGGAGAATTACACAAACAGAAGCATTTGCCTTGATTTGTGGTGGCCTCACCCCTTGGAGGTCCAGAAGCTATTAAGCATTCTGGGCAAGTACCTCGAGGCAGTCCCTGCCCGGCCTGTTTAGACAGCTTTCTTTTGGACTTGAGTGTGAGTGCTCCCCACACAGCAAAGCACAACGCGCCGCTACCTAAAGGGCAGCCTTTAGCACTTAAGAGTATGTATCTAATCTTGTATTTAGGCTATAAGTGAAAGAATGTTTAGTGTACCAAGGAACAATAGAAATAATTATGATTATCAAAATGTTATGATTAGTCTTAATGCTTTTGATACAAAATAAAAATACGTTGGCAAAAATAAAAATACGTTCAGTAGTTCAAAAGCAGCATTTCCCTCAGTAATTTGTTTTTAGAAGCTCTTAATTCTAATTAAAATCCAGTTCCTATCATGATGTTCCATTTTTTACCAAAGACCTTTTTAATTAAAACCTTTAGACCTGTAACTCCTAGAATCAGCACCTCTCACAGTACATGGTCATTATCAGTTTGTGAGTTTTGATCATCAGTAATTCCCGTTGGGAAAGAGTGTTGGCCTCCAGAGATCCAGGACTTCCTTCTCCTTGTTCTTGTGCACCTGCTGTCTGCTTGTGTCATGTGTGGTAGACTTCAGTGTACGCGCTGCCCTTTGGGGGTCATTTATCTTGTTGATGCCTAGGGTAGGATCCTTATCCAAGAATCAGGACAGCTGAGTTCTAGTCCGAGCTCAGTCCCCAGAGAGCTGGCAGTCCCTCAGAGGACTGGGCGGCCTGAGGGTCCTGCTCAGCCCTATGAGCCTCTGCAGAGGGGCTTGTCCTCTGGGTGGACAGGACTCCACAAGGAGGAGAGGACCCGGGTGCTTCTCCTTGTTTAAATGATCCTCGGGAGGTTGAAGCTCACAGCAAAGAACATGGAGACAACTTAGGATTGCTGAACTGCCCAAGTGCTTCTGCTTGAGGAAGGTAACTGCTTTTATTCAGTAGTCAGTGCATTTGGAAAGTCTTAGTGACTTTGTTACTTTACTGGGAGAAAGATAACCCTTCCTCAAAAGGACTGAAAAATCTGGAAGCTGCAGCTTGCTTTGGTAACATGGGAATGCTGGATTTGCTGTGACCCCGAAGGGGCTGGCCCTGGTGTTGGCAGGGGGAAAGGAAGTGGGTGTGTCCCCAGGTCACAGTGCTCAGTTGCTGTTGGAACCATTGTGTGTAACTGTGCGCCTTCGTTACTTTGCTGTACCAGTGAGAAGTACGTGTCCCATAAGGTGTTTCTCCCTCGAAGT